TGGTTAGTTAGTTATTGTGCATCGAGGAAATGCATTTTGCAGTTTCCGTGACTAAATTAATCAATAAATGAAGAATTTTCTAACAAACTTAACCAAAAACGATATATGACAGGAAAACCACAAACTCTAGTTTCTGTTAATAAGTCGATGTGTTTTACCGTTTCCTCGACGAAATTAGTAAATAATTGAAAGTTTTGCACAAATATTGGCCTCATACCGAATTTTTTAATAAGAAATTAATGGCGCTATTAATTCGTAAAAACGCAAGAAGCTACTAGTTGATGATGGTTAACCGGAGACGAAACGTCAGACTTAAAATTTAAAACGAGCATCTTATAGAAAGAAAAAAGTGGCTATATATCTTTTCAAATAACTTTGGTAAAAAATAAAAACGATTTTGCAAAGTTTCGTTTTTTCCGGATATCTCCGAAAGTAGTCGGAATTTATTCAGTGTCAAAACCGCATTTTGTTAAGCATCAAAATAATAATATGCCTTTATTTAATAACTGCAGTAGCCACATAACAAATGAGACAATTGCCATTAAAAAAAGCAATTAAAGAGAATTGTAAAAAAATGATTAAAAAAAATTAATGTAAAGAGAAGAAAAGAAAATAAATGCATAATGTGAACTACTACAGTTTTAAACCATAAGGTGAGATTCAGATCAACGTCTGCTTTTCAATCCGACCTCATTATATATCTACAAACAAAATCAAAGTCGCAAATGTTCTTCTGAAAAACGCATTGTAAAAAATATCTGAATATGTTATTCCATCTAGTAGTGACAAGCTAGTTTACCTTCCAAATGTACATTGTTCATTAAACAAAAAATTTTTACATTTACAATTAAAAAACTTCAAAAGCTATTATAAATTATATATTATTAATCATATATACATTAAAAGAAAACGATCTCTCAAAAAGGTTGTGCTGTGTGGAGGAGGGGTTATTTTACCTTGAAATTATGGACATCGCAGTGATAGGTGATTTTATTAGATAGATAAAGAGGTACTTTGGTTAAAATTAACTTATGGTAAAAAGTAGTAGCCTGTTATTCATATTTAACCAGAGACAATCAAGGAGCCTGTGGGATATGTGATCAGTCTTACGCAACCCTTAAATAAATGACATGAATTCTGGAACTTGTTGAAATAATGAAACCAACAAATGGGTTTTGTTGGGTGTTTGAGTAAGAAGTTTATTATCCAGCGTTCTGCTTAAATATTTAATCGCACTTTCCATAAATGGTCTCCAATAATTTTGGTTCACTGTTTTCAAAGGTGTTTTTGTATATCCATTTCCAAATGGGTTTCTCGAGTTTAATAGATCAAATAAATTGTTAATCGTTTTGATAAACTTGATGGTCGGTGCAACTTCTCGAAACATGGGTAAATTTAGGTCGTTGCTTAAAAATTCTAGGGCATCACAGACACTAGAACTTAGTTTTTGAGCAGCAAAGTTTACCTACAATATAAGGCATAATCATTATTAACGACATAATAAGATCTAAGAGAGAATTCAATTACTTTCAGAATTGCTCTCCGGAAGTGTATATGTTTGTCTCTTAATTTATTGGCAAAAACAAGACCTTGTTGTTGTATTCTGTTTAATTCTTTAATAAAGTTCCAATCTATAATCTGACCATCAGGATCTTTAATTTTACCCAGTTTTTCCCAATTGTTCCGTACCAACTTCAACATTATGACAGACATCCAAAACAACAAATATTTTGCTGTTATCTACAGGATGCTGAAAATGGGGTCTTAGAAAATCTAAATCTGTGACTAGGCATCCAAGTTCCTTCAGCATTTTAAAATGTATGTTGGGGCCATCACAAGTTCCAATCGGTTAAGCCGTTTAGCCAGAAATGAGAGTACAACAGACAGCCCGACATCATCGAGATTTTGTTTAATTTCAAAGCAGGTCGCAAATAAGTAAGGGAAACCTGATGAAACTCACCATGACATTTTTTTCAGAATTCCAAAAATGAATCCATAACAGTGTGTTTCAATTAAAAGAACTCAAATTCATAATTCAATTCAAGAGCATTTCTAACGCATGGACACCATGAGAAACTCTGTATATAGGAGTAATACCAATATGGATACATTTGTAAACATTGTAATTGCTAAATGTTTACTTGTATAGCGAAACTTGTGTGTGTAATTCATTCAGAACAGGATTCATTAATGGTAATATCCGTTTCACTTCATTCTCTTCATTTTTTTTCAATTAATTAGTATGTAATTGCGTATACACACGTGTGAAAAAATTACTATTGGATGTAGTAAATTATATGTGTGTTAATAATTAACGCGAACATTTTTTACGAGCGATACCTGTATAGGTAACTATTTTATATTTAAGCTTTTGCAGGAAATAATAATTAATAATTTTTTTTTCATTTTGCTTTACACAACTCTATTAAGTTTTATTATTTTGAAATCGATCCTTGTATAAAAGGTATGATTAAAAAATAATTATATATCTTGTGTATACTATGAGAAACCGACACATAAAATAATAGGTATAATATAATATAAAAAATTATCAAAGTCCTCGAGTACGAAGGAAGGGTCTTCGGCGCATTTTTTCTTCACCATTAATAAGGTCTTGTCGAAGGCGACCACATTCCCTATGCCGGTACCCGCTTCCAACTTCCCGTTCACCCGCAATTCGCGTTTGAAGTTTTGACTCCACCATCAGTAAGATCTTGTCACGCAGGAATTGTGCGCGATTTTTCTGACGACACCACAAGTACCAAGTAGTTTAAACATTTTGTTCAAACGACATGCAACTGTTTACTTATGTGAAGACGATTTAACTACCTACTTAGAACTTGCATTAAGTTGGGGTTTTGTGGACTCCATTTGCTTGTAAAGTTTTAGACTAACACTTGAAGATTCTTAACATATTAACGTATTGCAGTCCGATTTATTTTTATTGTACATGGTGTTAGGAAAATATAATTCATTTTCTTTTAACACTCGACGATGATGCATTATACATTGAGTTCATATATAATGTTGAATGCGAAGTATGTTGTTTAACCTTTTACTCTTCCGGATTGTTCCGCCTCAAACCCCCAATTAATAAAATGTTATTCTATTGCAGCAAAGAGAAAATAAGAACCGTTTCATAATTTAGTAAAGACCATTGACTTATTATTTATCCTTTCACTCTTTCCTTTAGAGACTAGAAAAGGATCACTGACAGTTAGCCGGCGCATACATATATTTAAATAACAAAATACAGAAGCTTCTGTATTATATAATTTTGATAAAAAAAACTGTCATCTAAGACGTCACATTCAATGTGTAGTTCAGCGTGTAAATTATTGCAATCGGTTTAAGAAAACCTACACCACAACTTATTGGATAAAAGATATTGCTCCGATAAGGCGTGGTTACTTTCACTTCACGCGCTACATTAGTTTTTACACCTATCGAACTCGAGAGTGTCGAGAACCCTCATTTTTATCAGAGAGCTCAGTTACATTTTCTGAAGTTAGACCTTGGTTAGCAATATCGAAAACTGTGTGACAAGTGTTCCATCCACTTCACGATAACAAATTGCAAGGTTTCTTTCAACGTGATACTGAGTAGGTATCTCTCGAAACAATGACATACTAAAACAACAACAGAGTGACTACTTCGAACACTTAAGTCATTATTTTAATTAAACCACGTTTAATTTTGTCGAATTTGTTTGTGTGACATTTTGGATCCAAATGAACCGTGCATATCATTAATTTGATTAAACATTTGAGGCTAAGTTTAGTATAAGTACAGCACGAGGTACAGCATCATGAGTTCCTTTCGGAATAATCCCTAAATAGATCAGATTTTCTTCTTCGCTCAGACTAATTCTTTTTATGTTATAGCGATTTAAGCTATTTTTTCCAATCCACTACATAGAGAAGCAAATATCCATGCCCTATCTGGGCCATTTGATTCATACACCATGTACATAAAGCCACAGCTGTAAAGCCGTGAGCCGTGAGTAAAGATAATAAAGAGCTCATTGTTTTGGTTTCCATGTCCGATGTTGCTATATACAGGAAGATACATTTTCCCATGTATCCTTTTAAATGCATTAGAAATTTCAGATGGGGTTCAATCAGAACATTATTTAGTCCTATACAACGTGGTCGACGTAATGTAAATAGCAAATATGAAGCATTTTTTCACAAATAAAAGAAAACAATTGCACATCGGGTTATCAAGATATCAATGAACTAACATTTTTTTAATGGAACGGCGTGTATATTTTGAAAAGTGAAATTCTGAGTAAAAAAATGTAGAACTATACACGGAACCTTAAAATAATAATAAGAATAGCTCTGATCCACTTATTCTGAAATTTAATTTAGTCTGTAAGAGGTAGAAATAATAAAATGGAAAAATTTTATTCTTTGTATAGCTCAACTTTTTTTACCTACTTTGTTATAAGCAAAGAAGTTTATGTTGACTTTCCCGCATATTTCTACCTAGGTTAACCTTTATTGATGTATCTCACATTAGAGTTGAAACACGACTGCTCGTTAATAGGACAAAAACTTGGTTAAAAAGACTCTGTTCACAATTGAAGTGGCTGATGTGCCCTAAATAAATAATACCACGAACTGTGCTACAAAGAAAATGACTTAAAAGTTAATGGGTTCTATTGAATAACTCCATCAGGATTATTGAATTCTGAGGAACTGAGTAAATTGTAATCCCTACTGAAAACCTTCTCAGAAGGGCCTTTCCTGAAACTATTGAGATTGTCTGACAGAGTTCGCGGAAGGTGCTAAGATGACATGACGTTACATCTACTCTTTACGTGACTAACAAGTGATTCATCCCTAAATACTTAATTCCTAGTACAAAATATGAATATAAAATTACAATAACTCAACATGCCGCCACCCTTGAAAGGATCCACTTTCAATGAATCTAACTAAATGAACTTATATCAACGAATGATTAACTAAACTATATTGTCCTTACACTTTACACTAACATTGGTTTAACACTTTCACTTCACTGACCGAACCACTGTCGTCCATTTGAACTGGAATGATGCTGATGTTCCTTACTGCTACCTTTTGGAGACCTCTGGCGGTTCGAATGGATACCACTCTGATGGTTGCATCTGCACCGGGATGGACTTGGACTATTCTACCGAGCTTCCAAAGTAGTGGAGGTAAGTTGTTCTCCTTAATCGACACCAGCTGACCTACCTTTAATTCAGCTTGGTTGTAATGCTTTGACCATTTTGCTCGTTGCTGCAATTGGGATAAGTATTCTTTCGACCAACGATTCCAAAAGCCTTGATACATGTGTTGGATTTTCTTCCAATGCGTGAGTGAATTAACGTTTTCTTGAGTGACATCTGGCTGCGGGAGAGCCTTGAGCGAATCTCCAATAAGGAAATGGGATGGAGTGAGGGCGGATAGGTCATTTGGATCGTTTGAGATACAAGTTAATGGGCGAGAGTTTAAACATGCCTCGACTTGAACTATTAATGTGTGCATTTCCTCATATGTTAGCACATTATCCCCGACTACTCGTTTTATGTGGTATTTTGCCGCCTTTACGGCTGCCTCCCATAAACCTCCAAAATGAGGCGATCGCGGTGGTATGAAATGCCACTTGGTGTTGCATTCCAATAATACCCGCGAGAATTTGTCTTTGTAATCTGCCGACGTCAGTAAATTTGAAATTTGCTCCATTTCGTTTTTCGCGCCGACGAAATTGGTAGCATTGTCTGAGTAAATATTGGCAATGTACTCTCGACGTGATACAAAGCGTTTGAGCGCATTTATGAATGCTTCTGTGGTGAGGTTTGAGACTAGTTCTAAATGTGTAGCCTTTGTTGAAAAACAAACGAATACCGCAACGTACCCTTTGTGCAATGCAGCATTACGCCTGCGTTGTTGACATACTTTGAACGGACCGCAGTAATCTATGCCGGTATTGGTGAATGGTCGAACTGCCTGTAGCCTGCTGGTTGGCAAGTTTCCCATCACATGTTCTAATAGTTTGGGTTTGAGTCTGCAACCTCGCACGCAACTTCTTAGGACTCGTTTTATTGTGTTGCGTCCCCCAAGTGGCCAGTATTGTGTTCGTATGATGGCTAAGATGAATTGAATTCCACCATGGAGGTGCTTGAGATGTTCGTAATATATTATCATTGTGGTAATTTGATGACTGCTGGGCAATATTATTGGGTGTTGCTGTTCAAATGGTAAGTGCGAATTTGTCAGCCGTCCACCGACCCGTAACAGTCCGTCAGTGTGCAGGAATGGGTTTAACGTCTTTAAATTGCTTTTCGTGCCCACCTGACCGTGCTTAGCTACTGATTGTAGTTCAGCAGGGAATGCTTCCTGCTGACATGCTCTTAGTATTCGTACTGTAGCATCTTGAACTTCTTCCAGCTGAAGAGGTCCAGACTTGTACCCTTGCTGTTGAGGTTTGCAATTGTGAATAAACCGCAAACAGTACGCTATAATGCGTTTCAGTTTTACAATTGATGAATAATTTTGGAACATTTGGACTTGTTCAGTGGTTGTTAATGCAATTGTCGTTGGACTTTTCATTTCAAGCTCGCAATTCGGCGTTGGAATTTGTTCAGACCAAGTGGTTTCATGTGACCTTAAAAAGTGTGGACCCGTCCACCATATGTGTGGTTTCAGTAAATCTTTGGGAGTTGATCCGCGAGATAAAATGTCTGCTGGGTTGTGTTTGGTGCTGACGTGCTGCCAAGTTGCTCCTTTGGTTAAATCTTGAATTTGGCTGACTCTATTTGCGACGAATGTTTTCCACGTTTTTGGCGTTTTTCTTATCCATGATAGTGTTACTGTTGAGTCAGTCCACAGATATCGTTTGGTGAATGCAACTCTTAGTGATCCAATGACACGATCTTGTAATTCTGCTAATAACAATGCACTGCATAGTTCGAGTCGTGGTAATGATATTGCTTTGAGTGGTGCCACTCTCGACTTTGAACATAATAATCTTGTCTCGTAATTGCAATTGTCAACTGTCGTTCGCAAGTATACGCAGCATCCGTACGCAACTTCCGATGCGTCGCAGAATCCATGTAACTCAATTGAAGTGTAGTTTAAGTGCGAAATTACGTTGCGATGTATGCGTAGTTCAGCTACTGACTTGAGATCATCGTAATAGTTGAGTGTAGAGATCCATCGGAATCGACTCGTCCCAATCTAGTTTCAATTGCCATAATTTTTGCATCATTACCTTTGCTGAGACAATCACGGGACCCAAAAGCGCTAGTGGGTCGAATAGCTGCGATGTAGTGGATAAGATGCTTCTTTTTGTCGCTTTGCATTTTGGGTTGATGTCGATTGCATATTGAAGATGATCGTCCTGTGAATTCCATAATAATCCGAGAGTTTTTTGTGCATCGTCGTTGGCTATAACGTGTGTGGGTTCCTCTTCGTTGGTTTTGATAAGTTGCCTTAAGACTTCGTTGTTAGTTCTCCACTTGCGAAGTTGGAAACCACCTTGTTGTAAGATATGTGCAATATTGACATGAAGTTGGTTTGCTTCTTCCGTGGAATTTGCACCAGTGATCAGGTCGTCTACATAAAAGTCCTCGCAAATTGTTGCCGCTTCTCTAGGGTATTGCTCTCTTGCTTGCTTTCCCAATTCCGTTAAGCACTTTGTGGCTAAGTAGGGTGCCGAGGATGTTCCGTACGTTACAGTGTTGAGCTTGAATGCCTTTATTGGTGCATTGTGATCATCTCGCCAGTAAATCTTCTGAAATTTCCGATCTGCTTCAGCTACTAATATCTGTCGATACATTTTCTCTATATCTGCAGTCAATACGACCGAATATGTCCGAAATCTTAGTATTATTGAGAACAATTCGCTTTGAATTGTAGGTCCTACCGCTAATGTTTCATTTAGAGCTACTCCGTTTGAGGTTTTTGCTGAACCATCAAAGACAACTCGTAATTTTGTTGTAGTGCTTGCCTGACGGGTTACGCAATGATGGGGTAGGAAGTAACCGTCCTCGTCTTGATCGTCAGCTAATTCGCTCATGTGGTTAAGATCCTTATACTCTTGCATGAATTGTCGGTATTGTGCTCTTAATTCGGGATTTTGGATTAACTTCCTTTCAATGGAGAAGAATCGGCGTTTTGCTATTTGTGCCGAGTCGCCTAATGATTGACGTGTCTCAAGGAATGGCAAGGAGACTACAAATCTGCCCTGTTGATTCCGTGTTACGTGCCTTGTGAAGTGTTCTTCGCAATACATTTCTTCCGGTGTCATGAGTGTGGGTTTCGACGGTAGTTCTTCCAGTTCCCAAAATTTCGCCATGAATGCATTGAAATCAACATTCGTATGATAAGCATTGGTTGTTTTCTTAGTTGCCTCTGGACAAGTTTCTAAGATACCCGAAATCACCCACCCTAATTGTGTCTTTTGTAGGAGTAAATCTTTATGCGGGTGTATATTTATTTGTCCTACACAAATTAATTTCCAAAAGAGCCGAGCCCCTAAGAGTGCATCAATGGGTGCCGCTTCGTTGAACCTTGGATCCGCAAGCGTAATGTTAGGTGGTTCGGCGATGAGATCTGTCGGAAGGCATGCTGATGGTAATCTCTCGATTATGACAGGCATTACAAGAAATTCCAGCGTTGCAGTGAAGGCCGTTGTCCTTGATTTGATCGTTCCCGTAACTTGTTTCTTCACTTGCGCTGCGCATTTTCCACCGATTCCAACTATTGGGACTTTCACGTCTTCTAATTTGAGTTGCAGCTTGCGTGCTAGCGATTCTGTTATGAAATTTGATTGAGCCGCGCTGTCTAACAGCACTCGGCAATTTTCAGGCCTTCCGGTTTTGTTTACTATTTCTATCACAGCTGTTGACAATAGAACTTCGCCGGAACTGCTGTAAAATACCTGACTACTTTGACCCCCGCTGTGGTTGGGTCCATTTACGCTAACTGCCGCTGCACCGTTGGCTGATGTGCTTGTACATTGACATTTTGAGGTCTTTGACTGTTGTGATTTCTATGTAACAGGGTGTTATGTTTACCGTTACATGTCTTGCAATTACCGCCTTTACAGAATTTTGCGAAGTGGTTGGGTTTCAGACAATTAATACAGAGCTTCAACTTTGTCACTTCGTTGAATTTTTCGTCTGCCGATAATTTTGCAAATGATTCACACGTAAACAATGGATGCTTGTCTTGACAATGTGGACATGTTTGATCAATAGTAGTGAATGATTTACTTCCGTGATTTGTAGTAATTTGACGTTTCGTTGAATTTTGTTGGGTTGATGAGCTTCCGATCTGATTGCCTGTGTCTTTGTTTGTTCGCGTTTCTAATATTTTGCACCGCTCTTGCAGAAACTTTGTTAAATTGGCAAAGGTAGGGAAGTCTATGTTTACAATTGTTTCCTCCCATTTTTCCCTTGTGCTATTGTCTAATTTTGATACTGTCAAATAAACTAATATGTCGTCTATAGTGGGGTGTCCTAATATTTATGACTTTATCTATGTGATTTTGAAGTGATGAATGTGAATATTTTTGCACTTGTGGTAATCCGAATAATGATTGAATATGCTTTTCTACTATAAGGCGTGTGTTGTGAAACCGTTTGCACAGCCGATCCCATGCTACCGGGTAATTGGATGCGCTTAATGGTAGCGATTTGATTGTTTCCAATGCCGCATCCTTAAGACTACTGCGCAAATATTGAAACCGTTGGACGTCACTAAGCGTTTCATTGCTGTTAATGACCGATTCAAAGATGTCACGGAATTTGATCCACTGATCAAACGATCCGTCGAAAGTAGGAAGTTGCATTGTTGGAAGTTTTACATGTGAAGGTGACGCTTGACCGTGATGACTGCTATTTAATTCCGACCGATTTGTTTCGTTGAATGATTTTGTGTATTTGTCCAAAATTGTTTGACCGTCTGCTGCCAGATCGTAGTAAGCATTTTCCACTTCTGACGCGTAGTTTTTTTGATCCGCACTGTTATCGATGAATTCGATTTCGTCTTGTACCGTATTGAACTCGTGGAATGTCTGATGAACCGTTTCCATGCGCAATTTTAATTGATTTACTTGAGCGACCGTTAAATCCGCTGTTCCTGATTCCAGTTTTGCTAACCAAGAACCAAACTTTGTAATTGTACCTTTTAATCGCCCCCTTCGCCCGACTAATGTTTTTAATATATCGACCGTTTTGGTTTGTGGAGTCGATACATTCTCATCGTTATTTGTGGTTGTTTCCGGCATGTTTAAATTGGATTGGATAGGAGAATACCGAATATGTATGCAATTAAAGGAATATTGAGATTCGCTTACCGATGTTGTGCTTTTCCCTGTTGGGTTAATCCTGTTGTGTGTGTGTGCGTCACTGAACTTGTTATTACCGAACTTGATGTTTATTTGCCGCGCGCGTACCGTTACTGAATTTAGTTTTATGTACTTGTTTTGATTTTACATTGATTGTATCCTGCTCGAAGGACCATGTTGAAACTTAAGAGTTTTTAAGTTTGTTAAAACCGCAAGATGAAATGGTTAACCTTTATTGATGTATCTCACATTAGAGTTGAAACACGACTGCTCGTTAATAGGACAAAAACTTGGTTAAAAAGATTCTGTTCACAATTGAAGTGGCTGATGTGCCCTAAATAAATAATACCACGAACTGTGCTACAAAGAAAATGACTTAAAAGTTAATGGGTTCTATTGAATAACTCCATCAGGATTATTGAATTCTGAGGAACTGAGTAAATTGTAATCCTTACTGAAAACCTTCTCAGAAGGGCCTTTCCTGAAACTATTGAGATTGTCTGACAGAATTCGCGGAAGGTGCTAAGATGACATGACGTTAGATCTGCTCTTTACGTGACTAACAAGTGATTCATCCCTAAATACTTAATTCCTAGTACAAAATATGAATATAAAATTACAATAACTCAAACAAGGGGACATGACCTTAGCTGTCGAACCCTCATTAAAAAAACGCGATAAAATTGCATGGTTAAAATTTTAAAGATAGATGGAGTCATCATCCAAGGTTACGACTGTTACGAGGAGCTTTCAATAAGTAAATATTGGCTGCTTCGTCTTGTAGAAAATAAACCGTTACAACATACCAAATGGGATTAAACTGTTGTGTGAATGAGTGTTCGTTGAAGCGTAACAAACAATACAACACCACAGAAATACCACAGCCGCCAACAAATCCCTTAAAGGTATGACGGAGATCGTCAAAGTCAAAAAAAGGGCAGCGTTATGTTTTACGAGACAACAGCAGAAGCTCTCTAGTTCTTTTACAGGATCAGATTTGCGCAAGCGAAAGATCAATGCAAGGGAAATCGATCAATATTATTGAGAAAGATACTTTGCGTGGCCTCTAGTGGCAGAATAAGGGATTAGAACATGAACTGAATGAAATTAAAGAGTCATTAGCGGAATAATACTTTCAATTTACTTAAAAAAAAAGGAACAGGTGTAATTAACATATCTAGTAGCTGCAGTCGGCGGCCACCAGTTCTGTCGGCGGAAGACAGTGGAACGGCTGAACGGGCGGACGGCAGTAGCAACGGTCCGGCGGGTCAGTCTCGGTAGCCTCGGCTAAACATAACCGGAGAAACGGCAACCTGGAAATCTGACCAGAAGACGGCGACAGTCACTTCGAAAAGCTAAAACAAAATTACGGGACACTCCCTAGCGAGAATGAAAGCAACAAAACACGAATCGGCGGTGGTGGCGGAACAGCAATTACGGTAAAGCGAACAATATCCCCTTCCCCCCCCCCTGAAGCGGTAGTCAAAATGTTGCTAAAAGTCAAATCCAATGAATATGGTGTGGGAATTTAATGCAAAAGCAAAATAAAACGATACGGATGCAATATAAATTTAGGGTTAAACGCCAAAAAGTAACAATTCTAGGTACGTTACAGTTGCAACAGTAAGTAACGGTAAAGCTCCAATTGGTACTTATAAAACTTAGCGGCGAAAATGCAAAAGCAAAAAGATCCAAATTCATAGTGCATTTTCTATTTACCGAAACGTCCACTTTGAGTAGGGAGTAACTGGAATTCCCATTTCGTACGCGTATATCTTCGGTACGTCCAACTAAATTAAACTCTTTAATTAACTACTCCTTTCCCCGATATCGGAAAATTACGGGACCGATGTCAGACTTCCATTTTTTTAAGCGCGCTTCTTTTAATATAAAGCCCGGCTTATCCGGAGGAGTTTCTGTAACTCATTTACACATATGTACACTTAAAGAAATATGTACCTTTGTACTTATAGTTGTTTAGGTACTTAGGTATCTGTTTAAAAGGGACTAGGTATACGTAGAGATACTTTTATGGTAATGTATCCAGAGTAGGTTTTAGATACAATAAAAGTACTTAGGTATATTACAACACTGCTAATTAAGATTGTAATTTTGAAACTAAATGTAACTTTATTTCACAAACACCTCACCTTTTGTACAATGACCACTCGACATTCTCAAATTAACAAGAGACTCAAAATTTACTGGGTTCTAAAATTTGAGAGAACAGAAAAATATAAATCCTTAAATCAAGTCTCTAATTATGTGCCATAGTTTGAAATTTCTTGGTAATGTGAGTCATACTTACGATTAAGTATTTTTTGTTCGTTTCTAAAACAAT